AATATATCTAGAGATATATCTAGAGATGGAGATATTTTTATGAAAAAAAAAAATATTTTTTAAAAAAAAAAAATCGTTAATGATATATATTTTTCAGGAAAAATTTCTCCCATGATATATTACTAAGAAAAAAATATATCTAGAGATATTTTGTCAAAGTTTTAAGGAAAAAAACATTTGTACCATACAAAAATGTAATTTCTTATTAAAGGAAAAAAAAGAAAAAACATTTGTTCAACAAAAAAAAAGAGAAATTTCTCCCATGATATATTTCTAAGAAAAAAATTTCCCATGATATATATTTATATATATTTTTAAAGAAAAACAAATTACGAAAAATTAAAAATAATGACAAACTCATATAACACTTTTTCCTGCAGTATAACAGTTTGGCAAAACTATTTTTACGCAAATTGCAATTGAAACTTGAGTTTTAGAATGAAAACTGTTGTATAACAGTTAAATTTGGTTGTATAACAGTTTTCACAAACTGTTATACAATGCAAAAAATCAAGTGCAAATCATTTTAAAGTTATTTCGAGCAGTATGGCACTTTTTTGTGCAGTATAACAGTTCGGCAAAACTGTTATACTATTGAAAAAAATACGAAAAATTTGAAAATAAGGAAAATACAACTCATTTCACAGATTTTTTGACCTGTATAGCACTTTTTTGTGCAGAATAACAGTTTGGCAAAACTGTTATACTGCTGAAAAAATTATGAAAAATTAAAAATAATGACAATACAACTTATTCCACTGATTTTTGAGCGGTTTAGCACAAAATACAACTAATTTTAATGATTCTTTGAGCAGCATAGCACTTTTTTGTGCAGTATAACAGTTTGGAAAAACTGTTATACTATCGAAAAAATTTTAAATATTTAAAAATTACAACTTATTTTACTGATTTTTGAGTAGTATAGTACTTTTTGTGCAGTATAATAGTTTGGCAAAACTGTTATACTGCTGAAAAATTACAAAAAATATTAAAAATAAAGAAAATGCAACTGATTTCATTGATTTTTTGAGAAGTATAGCAATTTTTTGTACAGTATAACAGATTGGCAGAACTGTTATACTGCTGAAAAAATTACGAAAAATGTTAAAAAATAAGGAAAATAACACTTATTTAATGATTTTTTTCACTTTACTTTACTTCAATTGTTTTGGTATATCAATTTCCTCCAGCTCTTCGATTTTTCCGAATTATTTTCGACAAGAAATATATTTTTGTTTACAATTTTGGAATTTTGTGTATGTTTAGTTTATGTTATATTTATTTAGTTTGGCTGTAAACAAATCGGATATTTCAAAATCCTCTTAAAAATTTACTACAAAAACTATAAATATTTTTTCCGAAACTAAAGTGCGTATCAAACATTTCAAACGAATATTGAAATTTTTATTTGACATCTTTGATGGCAAAAATTGATTTCAAGTCTTGTCGTACATGCCACTTATCACATATCTCTAGAGGGTTATTTTTTGTTTTATTAAATCATGAAGTTTATTTGATTAGACTCAAGGAGAAATCTTCTAAGTTTTTTTTAGGAAGATTTATGAGATCATGCACAGCAAGTGACTAAAGTGGTGGTAAACAAAGACAACAACTCAAAATGATGCTGCTGGGGGATGTCCATAATTTTGTTAATCATTGCAAATGACTAATGAGGGTATGCCTTTGTAATGAGGTGTAAGATGATTTTTTTTTTCAGAATAATTTTTCTTCCACGAATTTAAAACATTTTTCCGAAAAAAAAAATATTTTTCCCCTCCCCCTTACATTTCCCACGATTTGTTTATATTTCAAAATGCTTTTTATCTTTGATGCCAAAAAATAAAATGTTCTCTAGCTTGTCTGTTCTGGGAAATATGTATATTTTCAAAATGTGTAACACAAGCTGCCCCACATATGTGTGTGTATCAAATTGCGCAATCCACACAAACATTTCACATAAAAGTTTTACGATTTGTTTTTCATTATTTTTTAATTATTTGATTCCATACAAACAGCATGGATGTGATTTCGGCATGAGGAAACCCATCTCTAGCTGGTGGAAATTTTTTAATGGGATTTCCTGCAAAATTTGTTTACCGCCAACTAAATTAAAGGTGAATAAATTTTCCAAATTGAACATAAACAAAATATCAATAAAGAATATGTTTTTTTTTTTGTGTTTAGAATCGTATTATGAAATTTAACAGGTGGAAGGCATTGACAAACAAAAACAATTGAAATTGAGATAATAAATAAGTTTTTCAACATAAAACCGTAAAATCACCTTGAAACTCGTTATAATTTCATTAAATTTTTCATTTTCCATCATTTTTCAGCAGTATAACAGTTTTGGCTAACTGTTATACCGCAACCAAAAGTGTTATTTTTTCTCAGTATAACATCATGTTGTTTAGAATTCGATTAATTGAAGTTTTATAGTGAATTTTCAGCAGTATAACAGTTAGCGCTAACTGTTATACTGCAACCAAGAGTGTTATTTTTCTTCGTATAACTTCATATTGTTTAGAATTCAAACAATTGAAGTTTTATAGTGAATTTTCAGTAGTATAACAGTTATGGCTAACTGTTATACTACAAGAAAAAGTGTTATACGGTCCAAAAATAATGTATATTTGATTACAATCATTTTTTTTCGCTGTATAGCAGTTTGCGGAAACTGTTATACACGAAAATAAACTGTTATACTGTTGCATTAATCCCCTGACTGGAAGTAAAATAATTCATGAATGACAGCTCGACATTGGTGGCCATATAGAGCTATTTTCCAGTATAAACTATATGTTATACAGATTGAAACTTACGGTTAAAGTTCAAATTTTTCATCAAAAAAATGGAAGTTATCATTGATAATTTTGGAATTTATCTAAAATTGAATACAAAAGCTATAATTTTGGTTAATTTTTGAAATTTTCCCCCGTTTTTTTTATAAGTATAACTGTTTTGGCAAACTGTTATACTGCAATAAAGAGCGTTATCATACCAATTGAACTATAAAGGACTCAAAATTAATATATTTTGGCATTTTTAGTAACTTTTATACCGTATAACAGTTTTGGTTAACTGTTATACTGCAACACAAATATGTTTTGTCACTCATAAATGTTGGTCTATCGTCTACAGTCAATTTTTGATGCAGTATAACAGTTTGGCAAAACTGTTATACAACACAAAAAACTGTTATACAGCAAAATTAAAGTATTAAAAGGGATAATGAACACATTACCGAACAAGAAACACAAATTTGTGGCCCTTTACACATATTTGTGGCCATTTAACTGCATAATAGTTATTTGAACTGTTATACAGCAAAAAAATCTTTGAAAATGCAGGAAAAGCTATAAAAAAGTCTTTTGGGCCATTATTCTACATCCTGTGCTCAAAATATTTTAATAAAAGTGTATAAGAGATTATTCGAACTGTTATACTGACACCCTTTTTTTACATTTATATGTATTTATAATTGAATTTGAAAAATAATCCTGGATTAATTACAACGCAAAATCCACAAAAATCATGTGTATAACAGTTGAGGCTCCAATATAACAGTTATTTTTTGAACTGTTATACCACAAAAAATAATTTTTTCCAGTGCTGTATAAAGTTTCTGTATGACCTTTTTGACTTTTGACGAATGTATAACAGTTTTGAAAAACTGTTATACTGAACAAAAAACTGTTATACTTGAATTTTGTTTGTAAATTTGGTTGATTTGTACCTTTTTTAATAATTGTTATGCAATTATAATAGAATTTCAAAAACAACGGAATTCTGCATTAATTACAACGAAAATCATGTGTATAACAGTTGAGACTCCAGTATAACAGTTATTTTTTGAACTGTTATACAACATACAATAGTTTTCCAGTGCTATATAATGTTTCTATATGACTTTTTCGACTTTTGGCGACTGTATAACAGTTTTGCAAAACTGTTATACTTGAATTTTTTGGTAAAATTTGGTTGACTTGAACCTTTTTTAATCATTTTATAATGGAATTTGAAAAAATCACTGAATTCTGCATCAATTACAACGAAAATCATGTGTATAACAGTTGAGACTCCAGTATAACTGTTATTTTTTTTTAATGTTATACAACAAATAATAGTTTTCCAGTGCTATATAATGTTTCTATATGACTATTTTGACTTTTGTCGACTGTATAATAGTTTGTCAAAACTGTTATACTGAACAAAAAACTGTTATATTTAAATTTTATGTGTAAATTTGGTTGATTTGAACCCTTTTTTATCATTTTATAATGGAATTTGAAAAAATAACAGAATTCTGCATTAATTACAACGAAATTCATGCATATAACAGTTGTGGCTCCAGTATAACACTTATTTTCTGAGCTGTTATACAACAAATAATAGTTTTCCAGTGCAATATAATTTTTCTATATGACTTTTTTGACTTTTGACGAATGTATAACAGTTTGAAAAAACTGTTATACTGAACAGAAAACTGTTATACTTGAATTTTTTGCTAAATTTATTTGTTTAGAACATTATTTAATAAATTTATATGACTATCCTTTACTTCTGGCGAAAGTATATCAGTTTTGCAAAACTGTTATACTGAAAAAAAAAAACTGTTATACTTGATTTTTTCTGGTAAATTTGTTTGCTTCGAACAATTTTTAATAAATTTATATGACCATCTATGTCTTCTGGCGAGTGTATAACAGTTTTGCAAAACTGTTATACTGAACAAAAATCAGTTATACTTAAATTTTTTGGTAAATTTATTTGTTTTAAATAATTTTTAATGAATTTATATGACCATCTATGACTTCTGGCGAGTGTATAACAGTTTTGCAAAACTGTTATACGGAGCCAAAAATAGTTATCCTTGAAATTTTCGAAGATTTCTTTAATTTTAAAATGTTTATCATAGGTTATCAGAGGTTTTATGTAATTTTTGTAACTGTTATACTGGTTATATTTATGCTCTTAATTATAATTTGTTTTTGTCTTACCTTGCACTTGCGTATTCACTTGACGATGCACAACCTATCGACGTGCCTTCCGATGAATCTGTGACCGATAACTGTTGTTGCAGGACCCGCCTGGAACCGCTATGATTTGCCGTTGATTGTGTGGACGATGTTGCTGAGAGATGGCCAATATCCTTGTCGTATGAACTATGCGCTGCGTTTAGACACTGAATACTTTGAGCTTCAGTGTGTGTTTGCAAAGGGGCCATGAGCGAATCTGTGGGCAACTGAGCAAGTGTACTAACGCTGCTGGTCGATCTGCAAATGTGAAAGAGAGAGGGAGAGAAAAAAGGTGGGAGATTAATGTAAAGTCTTTGATACGAGTTTTCAATATTTAAATTATGGAATGAGATTATTCTGAAAATTTTTGTAATGAGGTCTTGACATAAAATGTCATTCCCAAATTTGTGAAAATTTTTCTTTGATCTCATTTTCCCAAAAATAATTTTTCGTTCATGTAAAAACGAATAGTCAAATTTTTTATGGCGGAAAATCCCATAACACATTCTGTGAAAACTACGTCAATACAAAACTGCAAACATGCTGTTGAAAGACCCAAATAAAATCTAGGTTAACCATCAAAAATGTATTTGAAAATTTATTTTGAAACAATAAACTGTTGATTTTGTTCAAGATTTTGCGTGTTGACCTCTTTTGCCAAAAACATTTGTTCGAGTCTCAGATTTCTCTGCCGTTAGTGGTTGTCTGTCTTTATAGTTTATTTTTTTTATTTTTTTGTTTCCATTGTTTTCGGGTCCATAAAAGTCAAAAATTCGCATTTGAATTTCGTTAAGATATTTATCTTGCGATATATAGAACACAATGTCTTGTTTGGATTACTTGACATTTTGATAAATAGCTTTTTGTTCGTGTTGTTGTTGTTCTCACAGTCACGTACTCTGCTAGTTGTTGGTGTTTCCCTCAAAACAAAAAAAAAAAAAAAATTAACATTAAAATTTGTTTTGAAAATAATTTTCTCATATGACAGGTTTGTTTATTGATTTGCCACTAAAAAAATAAATACGTTTTGAAATATTGTCTGACACATTTCAAAAATAAAAATGTTTTCTAGGTATTTAGAATTTCCAAATCCATTTTCTTTAAAAGTCTAAAAAATCAATTCTATTTGGAAAAGTAAAATAATTTTTAATTTACATTGCCTAACTTAAGGGGTAAAGTTGATAATTTTATTTTTTTTTTGGTAATTCCTTATCAGTTTATTTACCCCATTATCGGAGATAACAAACCCTTCCTTAGAGAAAAAGGTAACAGAGAAAAAAATTAAAAACCTATGAATAAAAGCTAGAAGAGAGCATACTTTAGGGCTGCAACGATTAGCAATGTAATACAAAAAAAAAATAAATAAAACAAAAATTTTCCATAAATTTTTGGTGATTTATAAGAGTATAACAGTTTAAAATTTGAATTTCACACACCCAAACCTATGAATATATATAATAAAATGGCAAAATGCTGATAGACAAATTTTCTGCACTCTTTTTTACCACTTTTTATGTGTATAACAGTTATAAACATAACTGTTATACTCTTTAAAATGGCTGTAAAATTCCACAAATTATCTTGTAATATTATTAATTATTTAAACCAAAATTTTCGGAGTCATTTTTAGTGATTTTTAGGTGTATAACAGTTTAAAAAATAACATTTATACACCAAAAAATGTAATTGTATATACAAAAAATTTGCCGATTATTGATAGACAAACTGTCTGCATAGTTTTTGCTAATTTTTGAGTGTATAACAGTTATAAACTTAACTGTTATACTCTTTAAAATGGCTGTAATCTTCGACAAATGAACTTTTAATATTATTTACCGTTGAAACCAACATATTTATTTTCTTTTTTGGCAATTTTTAGGTGTATAACAGTTTAAAAATTGACATTTATACACCAAAATATGTAATTGCATATACAAAAAATTTGCAGATTATAAATAGATAAACTTTCCGCAAATTTTTTGCTGATTTTTTGAGTGTATAACAGTTATAAACATAACTGTTATACTCTTTAAAATTGCTGTAAAATTCGACAAATTGCCTTTTAATATTATAAATCATTTAAACCAAAATTTTTGCACTCATTTTTACTAATTTTTAGGCGTATAACAGTTTAAAAGTTGACATTTATAACTGTTATACTCTTTAAAATGGTTGCAATATTCGACAAATTACCTTGTAATATTATTAATCATTTAAACCAAAAATTTTGGGAGTCATTTTTAGTAACTTTTTGGTGTATAACAGTTTAAAATTTGACTTTCGTGCACCAAAACAATTAATTGTATATACAAAAAACTTGCAGAATATTGATAGACAAACTTTCCACACAATTTTTGCTAATTTTTGAGTGTATAACAGTTATAAACATAACTGTTATACTCTTTAAAATCGCTGTAAAATTCGACAAATTGCCTTTAAATATTATTAATCATTTAAAACAAAATTTTTTCACTCAATTTTAGTAATTTTTAGGTGTATAACAGTTTAAAAATTGACATTTATACACCAAAATATGTAGTTGTATATACAAAAAATTTGCAGATTATCAATAGACAAACTTTCCGCATAATTTTTTGGTAATTTTTTAGTGTATAACAGTTATAAACTTAACTGTTATACTCTTTGAAAAGGCTGTAATATTCGACAAATTGCCTTTTAATATTATAAAAGTAATAAAACCAACAAACAAATTTATTTATTTATTTATTTATTTTTTTTTTTTTTGGTAATTTTTAGGTGTATAACAGTTAAAAATTTCACTTTCATAAACCAAAATATGTAAATTGGTATAAAAGAATTACAGGTTATTCATAGACGAACTTTCCTCACAGTTTCTACTGATTTTTGAGTGTATAACAGTTTCAAACATAACTGTTATACTCTACAAAAATGCTATACAAATTAGGAAACTAGCATATTAATGTTATGAAACATTAAAACCGACATATTTATATCACTTTTTGGTGATTTTTAGGTGTATAACAGTTAAAAAATTTGACTTTTATGTTTTAAATAAATATGTGTTAAAATATATTAAAAATTACGGTTTAAAAAAAATTCGGATTATAAACTCTAGGCACAATTTTTGCTAATTTTTGAGTGTATAACAGTTATAAACATAACTGTTATACTCTGTAAAATTGCTACAAAATTCGATAAATTGCCTCTCAATATTATAAAACATTTAAAACAAAATTGTTGCACTCATTTTTGGTAAAGTCAGAGTGTATAACAGTTAAAAAATTTGAGTTTTATTCACCGAAATGTGTGATTTAATATGATTAAATGAGTGTAAATTAAAAGATAAGCTTTCCGCATTCTTTTTTGTCAATTTTAAAATGTATAACAATTCTAATATTAACTGTTATACTCTTAAAAATGTTCATAATTACTGGCAACCGGACTTATAATTGCACATAACTTTTTAAAACACAATTTTTGGAATAGTTTTCGCTAATTTATAGTGTATAACAGTTATAAATTTTGACTTTCATGTGCCAAAATGTGATATTATACATAAAAAATGTTAGAGCATTTATACAAAAATATTTCACATTATATTTCAAACTATTTTTGGAGTGTATAACAGTTATCAATATAACTGTTATACTCTAAAAAATTCCTATAACTTCAACCAATTAGCCAACTAATACTAAAAAGCTTTTAAAAACAATGTTTTAAATTTATTTTGGTCACTTTGGAATGTATAACAGTTATAAAGTAGCTCTTATACAGCGAAAAATGTAATTATACATACGAAAATCCCAGGAACATAAATATTTGTTACATGCTAAGTGTATAACAGTTATAATGTTAACGGACAAATTATGCTAGAAAAATTTAATTTAATTGGAATGTAGCAACATTTTGAGTTATTGCTAGAGTATAACAGTTTAAATTAACTATTATACAGTGACAAATAAATGTTACAAATGACCAGAAAATTGAAAAGTTAATAAATATGAAAACGTATGACATTTTTGCGAAACTTTGATTTTGTTTTTGGCTGTATAACAATTAGAATTAACTGTTATACACCATATAATAAGAGTTATACGCCACCAAATAATGTGCTTTTCCTTTAAGTTAATATTTTATGCTTCAAAAACTCATTTGGAATGTTTTTTTGCAGTATAACAGTTTTTCTATAACTGTTATACAAATCGAAAATTAGCATTTTTGTTATTTTTTAATGAAGAATGCAAAAGGCAGGCATTTTGTAAGTATGTATTGCAGTATAACAGTTTAGCAAAACTGTTATACAAGCGAAAAACGATCAATTTTCTTATTTTTTTGGGGATTTTTTGTTAACTTATTATTTTTCAACCTACCTTGATGGGGTTTTACAAAATAAATAGCTGACTTTTCAAAAATCCAAGAGCTTAAATATTTATTTAAAAACAAAAATCTTTAAAAAAAATTCAATATGTGCATCCATGAAAATATTATTGTTTATTTATTACACAAAGATATTTAACGGCTTAATCACATATTAAGCAATTATTTCCTCATTTAACTGGACATTAATTTTTTCGGATAAAATTTCCGTATATTTCCATTTTAAATTGGAAAATATGTATGTCATTGTTTAAAAAATCCCAATATTTAAATGTTTTTCTTTTTTTTTGTTTTTCATTGTTGTTGGAGCAACAATTGTCTGTGGCGTTTTCATAAGTAAATGACCCCAAAATAATGTTGTTTTTTTTTTGTTTATTTGCCTCTGATGTGTGAAATTAAATATTTTCAGTAAACATCACTCACTCTCCCCAATATATTGAAACAACGGAATAAAAACAATATTTGTATAATTGTAATAAATGAGGCCTGTTTCCCATATAACACATAATATGTCAAATCGGGATAAAAGGGAAGCTGTTCCTTACTTTGGAATGATAAAAATTGAGACTTCCGTTAAAATACATAAAATGTGCTCCAATGACGTATGTCAGCTGAAGAAATGTTAGTTTTTGACTAATAGCAATTTTTTACAAAAAATTTGGTTGTATAACAGTTTTCTAAAACTGTTATACTCGAAAAAAAAACTATTGTAAACTGGTGAAATATGGTTTTTCGGATCAATTACGATATTTAGCGATATTTTTGGTTGTATAACAGTTTTGTATAACTGTTATACTGCTCGAAAACTGTTATACTCGAAGAAAACCGATTATATACTGGAGAAACATTGTTTGCTGGATTAATTAAGTGATTTCAGCAAGATTTTTGGTTGTATAACA